TAGCTGCAGAGTGGAGGTTGTTGGAGGAGGAAGCAGGGAATCCTACATGCTCACCTTCAAACAAATCACATTGTGTGTATTTTGTTTATTTTATGAGTTTTCTTTTGGACCAGATTTCATGATTTCACAATGAGCAAATTTTAAACAAAGCTAAAATGGAAAAGTTGTGTGAGGGGAAAATCAATTCCACCATAAATTCTGTATGCTTTAGGTAGAAATGTAGCATCCAGGTGCTGCTGATCAAATGCACTTGATTATCTGATCATCACTGAACACCTTGATACAAACAAGAGGTTAGGCAGTTTGTTGCAGAGTGTACAGGTGTGTACAGGTGTGTACAGGAGTGTACAGGTGTGTACAGGTGTGTACAGGTGTGTACAGGTGTGTACAGGTGTGTACAGGTGTGTAGCACAATGCCAAGACAGCAGTGATCTGCAAACATCAATGAACTTAATCTGTTCAGATGACACAACTGAACTTGTTTTGTGCTGTAAAGAAGAGTGGATCTTTCCTGCTAAAGATGATTTTATTCATTCATTCAGCCTTTATTTATACAGGTTAGGCTCATTGAGCCTCAAGGACTCATTTACAAGAGAGACCTGCACTAAGAAAGTAAGAGACCTCTATAGGCTGCTGAATCATGAAATGGACTAGGTGTTTTACACACAGCTTTACCCTTGTTCAGTTTCCATCATACTGACATGAACTTTAACCTTCAACCTGCTAACTGAGGCCTGTGCAGTCAGAGAGGGAGCATTTGACTTTGTGCAGTTTCTCTGAGCGCTGCACAGCTCGACCTTGGGGTGAATTTGCTGGGAGGTCCCCTCCTAGGAAGACATGCAACTGCTTTAAGTATTTTCCACTTGCACAAAATCTTTCTCTGTAAAATGAAGAACCTTTCCCAGATTGATGGAATGAAACTGTTGCCTCTCTCAGGTCATTGCTAATGTCTTTCTTTCTTGGCGCTGTATTACTCGCCTGCACGCTCTACACCAACAAATTGCTAAAGCACCTTTTACAGAAGTGATCACACATGGTAGTAATCAGTTAATCACTGTATTTGATCAGCAGCACCTAGTTAATTTTTCCCTTTACATTTTTTTAGAAACAGCAAACGTGTACTTAGTTACACAGGTTTTGGTTTTCCATCTTGGCTTCGGTATTGATAAATTAACAACCACAAGGTGAAATTTGATGTGTGTTTTTGTACAAATAACTTTAAAACATGGTCAAGGCTGGATCATTTTCTTCTAATATGACACGGAGAGCCCAACAATGAACAGGTGTACTTATTTTATTTTATTTTTTTTTACCAGTAATTGTGTTTCACTCAGAAACTGTGTTCAGTTGAACAGTTTCAGTTTCATCATGCACACTGCAAGGTTTGTGAGAGTGGACGGCGAGACAAGACGAGGTGCAGAAAATGTACTGCAGCTGTTACTCATATTTAAAGTACTGTAATTTGTAGCAGATGAGCAGGAAGGATCTCCCAGTTTGGCCTCCAGGACACATTGACAGCATAACTGGCCACAGATGGACACACTAGATGCTGCTGCAGTCAGACCTTTTAGCCTTTTGCATTCCAGATCTTCAGCCAGTGCAGAAAAATTCACACCCAAGCTTCTGCTCCCCCTCTGGCATGGTGCTGTGTTTTGGGGAGGATGAATGCACAGGACTGTCACAAGTCCCATTAGTGTATGCTGAATGTGTCAGAGTGCACGCAGTGTTCAGTTTGAGCTGTTGGGCTCAGGGGCGATGTATTCATAGGGACATTTAAATATTCCAGCAGTTGCCAAAATGGCACCAAACAGAAGCGTGCCTGCAGAGTTTGATGGCAGACAAGCGGAAAGCTTTTCAGACCGCATATAGATACATATTTTGTATTTTTATTAAAGCAGTTTGTCACATTATGTCTAATTTCAAACAACACACAAAAAAGTTTGTTTTTGTGGCTTTGTGCAATGAGCATGGATGTCTCCTAATGTCCAGAATCAAATCTGATTGCCTTCAGCTGGTTTTCAAACATTGTAATCTGTCTGAAAAGAAACAAAACCACAGTTTCATCCTTCTTTGTACTTAAAAAAAATAAAAAATAAATCAGCAGTGCTGCTCTGCTGTCTGCGATCAGATCAGCTGGAAAATATGACACCATATGAGGCGCTGACATACTTTATGAACGCAGCGATTTCCAAGAATGAGCTCCAAGGTCATTTCAGATGAAACGTGTTGACGTGAAGCTGCACAGATGATTTAATTACATCCTCTGTGTGTTTATGGATTTAGTCTTTGGATCAGATAATTAGTGTGTGTCCTTAACAAGGTTGAACACCTGCAAAAGAATTTCTGTGGTTTTCTGTTTGTGATTCCTTTTGTATTAAGAAATCATCTGCGGTGAGTCTAACAGAAACACACCAATAAAGAAATCAACAGCACAGAGACTGGCACCAACATTATTAATAAACTGTTACGGGTTTGCTGTGTTTTGAATGAATGCATTTCACACTCTGCCTTTCAGGCCAGAGTTATAGGCTCAGATCATCCTGAGTTGTAGCTGTTTCGGTCATGTTTGATGCATGATCTATTAGAATAAGTGTTGTAAATAACTCTCAGCTTCTACAATAAAAGGCTCAGTCATGTCATCTGGATCAGTTTCTTTAAGGGAGAAACGTTTTGTCTTCCATCTGGAAGACTTCATCAGTCTATGACCAGCCAACCAGATCTGTCCCATAGGTAGACTTCATTGATGTGTTTCAAGCCAACCTCCTGTTGGAATCTCAGAAGCAGGATTTTAACACGTGCAAAAGGACCCATCTGTCTAAAACAATTAATCATCATATAACAATCAAGTGTTTTAGGCCAGATGGCCAACTTGTGACACCAAGGCCAAAATGGTTCAGAAAAAGCTTCTACCGCACCAGATTTTAGTACAATACATTAGTCCCTCGCTACTTCGCAATTCGTTTATCGCGGAATTGCTCTATCGCGGTTTTTCAAAATAAAATTGGACATGACACACAATAGGCTGATTGATGGATGAGCCGCACGATTGACATGGAATTTTTATTTAAACGAAATTATTTTAAATTATTTAGCACCTGCTGCACATTTGTGCAGCCCAGCTGCAGAAAAAGCTTCCTCCTGCTACTTTGTACAACCCACACTGCCTCAGGATAAACTTCCTGCTGCAGCTGATCAGCTGATCAGTGTGCAAATCTGAGAAGTGGGCGTGGCCAAGAGCGCTTGCAGGTTGCAAAGAGCAGAGGAGGCAGGGAGCTGACATCATGACATGCTGTGCTCTTTTAGAGTGTTTAGAGTTTAGAAACATTGTTTAGAATAGTGCAAGAGTGTGCGAAGAGTTTATAACACCTTAATATATATCTATATGTAAATAATAAAATAAACTACTACTTGATACTTGTACTACTATTCCTACTTCACGTTTTTCACTTATCGCGGGGCTTCAGGGTACGGATCCCCTGCGATACACGAGGGACTACTGTATTCGTAAACTGATCAAGGTAAAGCCATTTTTGTGTATGACACAGCTGATTAACTGCTGCAGCCATCTTAAACTGGGTTGACTCCTGAAGG